GCACGGGCGGCAGGCGGCCCGTCGCGGGACGGAGGTCCGCCCGGCCCGCCGGACGGGATAGGCGCCGGATGTGTCCACTTCCTCGTCTGCCGTCGACAGCTGTCCGTCCAATCAGCCACTGCCAGAGGCGTCCCAGCGGTGTGTGGTCGGTACCGGGACGCAGTCTGGTGTTGCATTGCTGCGAGGTTGGTAGGAGCGATGCCCCTCAGGTGGCACTCCGCTGGTGGCCTGATGTCAGACGGGTTATGTTCCACTTGCAAAGAATCTGCCTCCTCTGGCCTATCCGGACACAGCAATATTGGCTTTACTCGTGTCGACTCTCATCACAGGTAAGGCACACAGCCGTGACCTGCTCACGATAGCTCCCGCCGCTGGGAGCTGTGAGAACCCTGACGGCTCCGGACGCACGGCCGGCCGCGGCGACGCGTGCTCTGGCGGCCCATGGCGCGCGCGTGCCTGTCGCGGCGGCGTGCAGGCTCGCCGCCGGCATGCCGATGAACGGCGGCGCCGGTGCCTCGCGGCCGGCCGGACGGTGACCGCGCCGCTGTTGACCGGCCCGGCCAGTTTGTACCGCTACCGGCCGCGGCCCGATCCCGGCGATCACGGCCCGGTCAGCGCCACGGCCCGTGTCGTGATGACACGGCCGCGTGCCGCGCGCTCCCGCCGCGCCGGGGCTCGGCGCTGCAGGACGTGCGGCCGCAGTCATGGCCTCAGATGTTTGAGGCGCGTCTGGTATGGAAGGGCAGTGGGCGAACCGACAGGCAGGAGAGGCGGGTCGGTTGGCCGGGGAACGATGTCTCGGGTGGTGATCGAATTTCTGTGATTGTTACCACAAGTCCTGACATGAGGTGGCGTTTCGAAGTGTGAGCGCGTTTGGTTTTATACGTTGTAATCTCGCCACTTTTAATGCTCCCGATGGGCAGCTGTGAGATCTTGGGGCGTTTCCAAATCGACATATTTGGTTGGAACCAATGAACATTGATTATCAATTACACGGTGCTTGATTCAAAGCGTTACCCTGATGTTCCGCGCGTGTCTCGGACGTTTGTAGGCCAGTGACCCAAGGAACCTTACTTTATCTTGCCTGTGGTCGCGGTCTCTGCTTCGCCGTTTTTACGCGTCGAAATCCACTAGCCTTGGGCCGTCGATAAAAACATTTCCGATCCATAGGAAGAAGTGCGGAGGTCACCGCCGCGCCGTCGCGTGCTGTGGATGACGTCCCGCTCAGACTTGTAAGACAGAGATGGTCCCAGCATGTCACATCGGCATATCGCGGGCTCGAGAGACAAGACGGAGATGGTCCCAGCGTGTCACATCGGCATATCGCGGGCTCGAGAGACAATGAAGCTCGATCGCGCCGACAGCGGGGCTTCCGTTCGGACGATCCTGCATCCGGTATGGCCTCTGCGGGCTCCCACAGCGCGCGGACGGCGCATCGCGAGAGCGCGGTCCTCTGCCGCGGCCGCCGCCGTCACGCCGGCGCCGGCGGCCGCCTGGCGCCATCGTGCAGCGGTTGGCGGCGACTGGGCCGCGCCGGGTCGGGCGCCGCATGTGTTTGACACGGATCGTGCGGCGGCGTGGACCCGCGGTCAGCTCGGGTCAGCAGCGCCGCCGCATCCCGCGCCCCGCGCACCGTTAGCGGACCGCCCGGCCGCCGCTGGCCCAGTTCGCCCGGCACGGGGGCCCTCGGACTCGACGGGCCCCCGGCGGGACACCGTGCCCGCCTCGCCAGGAACACGGCCCGATGGGAGGGGGGTCCCGTCACACGGCGGCCAGGCATGTGACACGAGCTCCTGCAGCCGCGTGACTGCGTGTGCAGGGCGGACACGTGCCGCCCGCGTGCTGCAGAGCCATTGAGGCTCGCGGCGGGGTCACCGGTGTCGGGATGACTGGCGTGTACGGCGGCCGTGAATAGATGACCCACTCTGCGGGCGGACCGCGGGCCGCCGGGCGTTCCTGACCGGTGGCGGACCATTGTTGCGACCGGCCCGGGAATGCGCGGGTGGGTGATCGACGGCGCCGTCGCTCACCCGCCGGGCCGCCCCTGGCCCGCCCGCCGCCGCGGGCCGGTGGCCCGGGTCAGCCCGGGTTTAGCGCCGGTCGGGCCGCGTCATCGTCCGCCGGGGGACGCCGCTGGCGGCCCTGCTCCCGGCCGGCTCTTCTTGCCGGGAGGTGGTATGTCTTCTGCGGGTGCAGATCGAGCGGCGGGGACGGGCTCCCGGGGACTCGGATCGCCTGGCTGTGGATCGAGGCTTCACGACGAGTGAAGGAGTGCGGCCGAGTTCCGTGATGGTCGCGCAGAGTTGTCAGCGGCCGTCCTGCCGTGTGTGACCCCACGCACAGACACACACTGCTGCCGGCGGGCTGGCCGTGAGCTGCAGCGCCGCGCCTGCCCGTGCTGTCTGAGTAGCGGTCATGTCAGGGATGATCACCACCAGCCTGGCGTGTCCGCCCGATCATTGCTGTTGCACTGCGCAGCGGGTCACACTTAACGGGCCGGGGACCTCTGCAAGCGGCGTAGAGCACGGACGTATCTGTTGGCGTGATGAGCCGCCGTGCCGGGCCTCCGCAGTCGCCGGCGGCGGCGGCGGGGCGGCGTGGGAGGCTCCGCCCGGGTCAGTGGACCGGGCCTGGGCAGGAGGTCGGCCCGGCAGTCATCAGCCCTTCCTGTTTGGCGGTGCGTCGGCGGAGAGGTCGCCGGGCCGGCGCCGCTGATGGATGGCGTCCGGCCGGCCGGCGCGCGACCGTCCCCGCTACGGGCCCGCTCTTCAGTGACTGTCCCGGCCGGCCGGCCGTCGCCCCCGCGTCGGTCTGCGCCGTGACGCGTGCGTGTGGCGCGGAGCGGTGCGCTTCTCTGACCGCGCACTCCTCGCTCGCCGTCGGCGAAGGGTGGTCAGCGGCAGTGAGTAGTCTTTTCACGCTCCATTGACCGCCGCGTCATCGGCAGCCCTCCCGCAGTGGGTGGTGTCGGGGCGGACGGGAAGTCCCACGCACTCCCGTGGGAGAACTGTTGGATGGTGCGAATGTCCGGGACTGCTGTCCTTGTGCTGCGGCCGCGCTGGGGACGACCCCCATCGGGTGTGGGATGTCGGCCGGGGTGGGGCAGCGCTTGTCCTTTGCCCGCCGTTCGTCGGTGATCTGAATGTGCACGCTGTCCGGCCAGGGCCGCGGCAAGCGGCCCCGGCCGGCGTCCGAGGTTGTCTGTCCGTGGTCGGCGGTCGGCGGCTGCGCCTGACCCTCCAGCCGTGGAGGGTGGAGCGGCGCTCGGAGGCGCTGAGCCCCACTGTGTGCCCGGGCCGCGGCGACCGGGTGTGTGTGCGCGCGCCCGCCGGCGGCCGGAGCCGGGCCTCGCACGCGACACACTCGGTTGGGTTCCGTGGGAGACCGGCTGGCGGCGGCCGTGGGCCCGCCGCGACAGCTGGCCAGACCTTGTCACGGGCTGCCGAGGCGGCCCGCGCTGCGTCTGGAGACTGTTCGTGGCGGTATGCTGACACCGCGTCACGGCTTTCCTTCTCGTGTCTCGGCATTTTCCGTGCGCCCGCTTGTTCGTGCGCTGGCGGCCGTTGATAGTCCTTTTGTGTGGTTGCTGTGGAAAGGGAATGAGTTCTTTGGCGCTGCGTGTCCCTAATGCTGCCTCTCGAAGGTCACCCACGGCTTATGCTTAAAGTCGCTGGAAGTTGTGGCCAACTGATCATGTCTAATGAAGCGTTGTGTGACATCAGCCGGCTTTAATTAATGGCGAAATGTCAATCACGTATGGTTTTGCTTACGTAAGAATAATTTTTAGTCATTACAAGATATTCGAAGATAATGTCCCGCTCTAATGTGCCGTAAATCGGGGACCTTGGCGAGCATTTTTAACTGATCAAAGCGCCGAATAATCTGAGCTAGACGATGACCCAAATTGATTATTACCACAGCATCACTGTTTTTTCCAACTCAGTGACCGATGACCACGTCACTGGTCACCTGTGGTAGCCTGCTTGGCTGTCGGACTGTCCTTTCGCTACAGCCTAGAGCGCAAAGTACCTTTCATCGTTTAGCTGCTCTCGAAGCTCGAGCCGCCAGCTCGTAACGTGTGGGTGGCACGGTGTGCCACGAGGCTGCAGGCGCGACGTCGAACCAGTGACGTCAGCGAATGTCTCCCGGCCCAAGCTTGTGCTCTCAGCGACACTCGGTTAGACTCCTCCCCGACCAACTAGCGACCGTTTCACGAGTGTCGTGGTGGATCAATGCATAGGGCGCCGGTCGTAAGGGCACGTGTGGCAGCACGCGTTCTCAGAACAGCATCACTTGCCAAAAACCGCGTCTATCTGCTGTGACGGTCAGCGGCTAGTCTCCGACGAGAGGAGAGGCTGACATGGGCGATCGTGTCAGGACGATCTGTGACGCGTTAAAATGCTACGGCAAGTATGTGTGGTGAACTTGAATTGATGTGCGGATAAGCTGAGGTCGGAGTTTTTAACAGCGTATGCAAGGTAAGATGTCAGATCTCAACTAAATCTCTGGGAAAGAATCCGGTCATGTCGTTTGATTTAAGTGCAGCGTGACGTCTGGGCCGAGTGCGCTGCAGAATACGACGTGTACGATGTCGAGTACGATGTGATTACATACAGATGGGTGAGATGAGGGGTGATAGTGTTTTTTACTGCCGTTGTGTGTGTCTGTGCCGTGGCGTTTGCGCGCGCGCGCGCGCGCGTTCAGTCGCGGCTAGCCTGGGACCCGTGCTCAGTCGTGTCGCGTGCCCGGTCATTCCCGTGTGAGCAGCGCCGACCCGCTTCGGCGGCGCTTCCCTCCTGCGTGTGACCGCGCCGCCGACCCGCTCTCTGCCTCTTTCCTTCCGGTGCGCGCGTGACCTGTGCGCCGTGCGCCCGCCATCCGTCCCGAGCGTGCGACCCAGCCCGTCCCGTTTCCGCCTGATCTCCTTCCGCTCCGGCTGTGTGACCGACGCACGCCGCAGGCCGGCCCGGTGTGTGACGCCGCGTCCGCCCTGCCGACAGATCTTCTTCCGCTCGGGGGCGCTGACGCGGCTGGAGGAGCAGCGCGACGAGCGGCTCCAGGACAAGGTGGTGCGCCTGCAGGCGTGCTGCCGCGGCCTGCTGGCGCGCAGGCAGTTCGCCCGGCTCAAGGTAATGTCGCGTGGTCGGCGTGCCGCGTCGGCGGAAATACGCGGCGGGAATGCGGCGGCGAGGCGCGGCCGGCTGCGCGGCCGCAGCTGTATCGGGAAGCGATGGTCACAAAGGGTGGACGCGATAAGGCTGGCCGGTGGTGCTCCGGCCGGCCGGCGGCAGCTTTTGTGGTCACGAGGGTCACTGCTTGCGGTGTCGGACGGGCAATGTCCGTCGTTTGTCAGGGATTGCGATAATTGATAGCGTAGATGTCACAGTTGCTGAAGTGTTCTGACTGCGCTCAGTCGAGTGATTAGTGCGCCGTTCGTGGTCAGCTGTGCTGCAGCTGTGCCTGGATTCCATGCAGATTGTCATCGACTTTAGCTGGCACTATGACGGCCCAGTAATCCATCAGTGAATTCTGCGTACGGCGAAATGTTTTTTTTCTGGCACGCCGCTCATAGAGCGGCGCGCTTTCCGTCGTGCTGCTGCAGGTGGGATGGGTTCTGTGATAGCTGCTGTGAACTGTGTCTAGGTCACCGCAAGCACGCGGCGTGACGGCTGCACTCGCTGCACCTGTAGATGGACAAGCGACAGCGGTGTTCCGCGTACTCGCCTATCCGTCTCGGGCGCGCTTCGCGTGTCAGATACGGCCGACAGGACCTCCGGGACTGTCCGTCGCCACATCTACCGTCCACTGGTCCAGTGTCCCGTGCGAGATGGGGGTCGACGCGCGGTCGGCGCGCCGCCGGATCACGCTCTGCCGTCGTGTCGCCGTGTTTGGGCTCCCCGGTCCCGCGCAGCGCGCCGATCGGGGCCGTCGCGGCCGTCGGTCGGTCGACGCCGTCCCTCTCTCGGGCCGCGGCCGCCGGCGGCCGAGCGGCGCTCCCACGGCGCGCCGCCGGCGCCATCTGGCCGGCCGCCGGCTCGTTAGCGGTCCCAGCCGCCGTGCGATGGCCGCCGCTGATGGAGCTGTCGTTGACCCGGGCCGCGTCGGCACGGCGCGTGCCGCCGCCGCGGGCGACGGCTCCTCCGGGCAGCGGGGGCCGTCGCGGTCACCGGGATGGCGCATGTCTGGGTCAGAGATTGATGGGGGTAGGGGTTGCACGCCGGTAGTGTATGCTTTGGGGTAGATTTACTCTCTGAAGTGCGCTCGTACACTTCCAAAGTCTGAGAATGTGCAGTAGAAATGTAGTGATGTCTACTGATACATGAGCGAACATGGAAGCAATTTATGATAAAACGACTTTGCCTAGGTGATTCGGGGCCGTCGGTGATCCCTCAACCGTTTCACGAAACCGATTTCCGCACTCTATAAGTCTGTCGAAGGGTGTCGTCGAAGGGCATTCATCAGCAACCTTCCTGTTCGGCGCCGCTGACTTACTGACCGAACGGTGCGGCGCGCTCGGTGACATTCCTTTTCTGGCTCCGGTCCAGCGTCACGACCCGGCGCGATCCGGGCTTAAGTTACCGTATCGGGCGTCAGTGTCGTGTCCGCATGGCAAGGAGCCGCGCCTCCCAGTGCCGGCGGTGTGTCGGTCGCCTGCTGGCGGCCTGTTGCCTGTCGCTGTGCGGCGGCGGACGGGCGCGCGCCGAGCCCCCGAGGCCGGCACGGCTAGCCGTACCGCCCGGCCCGCGGCTGGGACCGCAGGCCGGCCGGGAGCGGGCGCTGCGCCTGCTGCCGGCCGGCGTCGCCCGCAGGAGGGGTGGGTCTGACCGAGCAAGCGGCGTCTCGGCGCTGCAGGCCCGGCGAGACCGCGGTTGGTCCGGCGGGTGCGTGTCGGCTGAGAGAAGGCTGCCGCTGTGCTCCGGACACGGCGGGACCGCTTGCCGGCTGGCCGCTCGCGCCGTTTGCCGCGCTCGCCTCAATTACCTGTTGGCCTGTTATCACGGACGTGTCTGACGGCTTCTGCTGTGACAGACGGCCGCACGCGGCGCGCGCGCACCGTGACGCTCTTTGGGAGGGGATTCCACGCGCTTCCTAAATACGGGGTGCTGGTTGTTGATGGTGGGAACGTATTGGCTTTCAGGGATGAAATGTGTGTGTTCGAGTTGGTGGGGCATGCCGTGTGAAGGATTTTTGCATGTAATGGACGGCCGCTCTGGAGTACATTTGCGGCTGTGTTTTCCGGCAGTTAATGACAAGGCATTCAATTATCTTAGGTTTTACTCCCGAGCGTAGGCAGCCGCTCGCCGCGGGATCAACGACTGGGTCTTTGGCGACTATCATTCGATGACTTTGCAATGTAAGCAAATGTTTGTCTCGCTGGAGAAGTAGTATTGACCGTCTCCAGCACGTTGAGTCGCTGTCCGCTCTCGCTTGTTTTACCGCACCATCCGCACTTGCCCTTTGCCGCACCACCGTACAATTGTTCGCAGTGTTTGGCATCCGTACTGTTTTGACGCGTCACCGTCTGGCACCGGCAGGTTCAGGACCTGGCCATCCGCTGTATCCAAAAGAATGTGCGCAAGTACGTGGGCGTGCGCAGCTGGCCCTGGTGGCGCCTGCTAGTACGCGTCACGCCGCTGCTCGACGTGCACCGCACCGAACAGCAGCTGCAAGCCGCAACGGTAGGTGGCAGCGCAGGGTTGTGGCGTGCGGTATAGGTGGCGCTTTAATCGCCGAGTGCGGTGGTGACTTCCTCGCCAGCGTCACGTAGCAACCAAAGCGAAATTTAGGGAAGTTCCCATAATGAATGTTAAGCTGCAGCACTCTCTTTCAACCATTTTGTAAAATGAATGTTAACGCAGCTCACAACAAGAACAGGCCCATCTAACAGCCATCTTGCTTTTTATTAAAAAGCAGCACATCTAGGTGCCAAATGATCACTGCAGCCGGCGCGCTCGAAAACACCAATAAACGACAAAAAGAGCAACACATCGTCACCAGTGTGTTTTCAGACTTATAAATGCCAACATGGAGGAAACATTGGCCACTGCCCATAACCTAGCCCACTTTACGGCCAATGTCACCGTCCGCTGTACTTCACGGTCTCGCCGACAGCACATTTAGCAAATGACCCCAGATTTGTAAATTAAAAACACTTGTGCTATGGCTTTCGCAACAATGAGAGCCTCGAGGTCGCTGCACACGTTCAAAAGGTCTCATTGGAGCACAGCACGGAAGTCAGGCCCCGGTGGCTTCCGAGGCACGGTCAGCCGGCTGCTAGCCTGCCATTTGATTCAGACCTGTCCCGGTCCCTTCTCAGTCCAAGTATTCAGCCGTTGGGCGTGTTGTATGTGCAGGATAGAGAGTATGCGGTACTTTGACACGTTTTGGCTGAGTGTTTGCTTGTCTGACTTCACCATACATGTGTGCTTAATTAAGAGATGAAATGGGTGCCGCACGCTTTTTTGGGAGCGATGGAAAGTTTGGAATGAATGAAGCGATGGAAAGTTCTGGCTGCAGTAGTATAGGGTCTGGGTGGCGGGTACAGGACAACGCCCTACCCAGTTTCGCCAAAATGTGACTTTAACCGTATGGAGTTGCATGCCAAAGGCTGAAAACAAACTGTCCCGCGCCCCTTCTCCCTCCCTTCTCACTTGTAACTTTGTTTGCTCTCCTTCGATCATTTGCCATGCAAGTGAGGTAGCTGTTTTATGTGTTCATTGCGCGTCGTTGCACATGAGGTGTCTGGCTCAGGCGCACGCAATGATCAAATGATCGCGGTTTCTACAGGAGGAGCTGCTGGCGCTACGAGAGAAGGTCGAAAAGTTGGAGAAGGGCAACACCGTCTACAAGCATGAAAACGACAAGCTTGAAAGCAAGGTGAGCACTAGTGTGCAGTTCGCTCACAGCATGTTCCCGTCAGCTGACCTCCTGTCCCGGCATTGAGTTTCTCTATTAACCGCACGAAAGCTCCGATGATGTAAGAGCATGCCGCCGCGCGGGAGCATCGTGCCGGGATGTTCTCGATGAGCCGCCGCACTCGCTCAGTGTTGTAGGCGTTCTCAGGCGGCCAGCGGCCTGTTGGAAGGAGGCTGTCCCGCCGGCTGTGCGCCTGCGCGAACCTGCATAACTCATCGATACACTGATTACGCACGAAGGCTGGCAGAGGGGCCCTTCCCCTGAAAAGAAGCGTGGGGTTGCTGGCCGTACGTTAGCATGGAGATTGGAAGTAGCTGTGTGTTGCAGTCGGTGCTCGTTATGTGATGAGGATGTGTGGTGCTGGCGCGACGATGGCCGCGGCGCGAGCCACACTCTGCGTCTGGGGCGGGACGGGAGCTGGCCTCCCAGCGAGGAGCAGACTCATGCGCTCGGAGAAGTCTGCTGCAGAAAAGAACGCAGGCCAGAAGCTTAAACCCGAACCGGCGTTAGTTCGCTGCTCCGCATTACCTGGAAGCTAGTCAAACTTTGACAGCATTTCGAAGATGGCGCCTGTCCGTTTCTTTCGGCGCGTTGCATCCTGCAACCGGGAGAAATGCTGGAGCTCGTTTGCACAGCCCTCCTCGTGCAGTGCATCCGGTACATTGGGGGCGGGCTGCGGTGCAGCTGGCCCGTCAGTCCACTGCCGGCGCGGCCGACTGCGGCGGCCGGCCCCGACAGAGGCGGGGGAGGGGATAGGACGACAGAGACGGAGGGGGCAGCCCCAGCAGGTGTGGGGGTGGGATGGCCCCAACAGAGGCGGAGAGGGAGGGACAGGGACGGTGTGAGGGCAACCCCAGTAGGTCTTGGGGTGGGGTGACAGCCCCAGCAGGTGTGGGGGTGGGATGGCCCCAACAGAGGCTGGAAGAGGGGACAGAGACTGAGGTAGGGCAGCCCCAGCAGGTGTGGGGGTGGGGTGGCGCTGACGGAGGCGGGAAGGGGGGGGGGTGTAGAGACGGAGGGAGGGCAGCCCCAGCAGTGTTTGGTGGGGCGGTCACGATAGGGGCGACGGTGGAAGAGCGCGGAGAGAGTGCGGCGCCGACAGTCCCGTAGAAGCGGCTGCCTCGACAGAACTGGGAGGGTGTGGGGAGGGGGCGGACAGGCGGGCAGTGTGGGGGTGGGGCTGCCCAGACAGAGGTGGGGAATGTGGGGCCGGCCGGAGCGGCACGGCCCTGCCAGCTGGCTGGCGAGCGGGCGGGCGGACAGCGAAGGAGGAGGTGGCCCTCGGTGCTCGCCGGGAGCGGGGGTGGAGATGAAGCAGACCACGGGTGCACATATTATTCACGTGGTGGCCCGCGGGGCACGTGCCCTCTCCTGATACAGTTTCTTACATTATTAAGATGTGCGTAGACCAATTTTGGCAATGATAAATTCGGGGAATGCCTACTAAACTTACAGGTCGAGCACACCCCATGTCGTTTTACGGTGTGTCAGAAATTTTACGCGCCTGCGGCGCACTCGAGTTTGCGTTTGGTCTGGCACTCATCCATTGCGTACGCCGTCGGTTGGCCACCAGAAGAGAAAAATTAATTTAGGTGTTGATAGTGCTTTATTTACGATTAGTGGCGTGGGAAGATGGATTGAGTGTCGGAGGTGCCGGTCTGTTAATAAATGCCCCAGTGATGAAGAGCCATAGATTGAAAATGTTATGGTGGCGTGGCGTGGTGTTCACTATTTATAGTAGCGCTAGTAGCGTTTCTCCAGTTTTTTCCCCTCCTCGTATGTGACCATCGCGCGAGGACTAGGAACGTGGCTGTTGTTTTATGGTAAAGCACACGATCGCACCCGCAATGGAGGGGTGTACCGGGGAGGGGGGAGAGGGACAGGCGAGGGCGCATGCGGGAAATGACGGAGAGGCTGTGCAGACGAACGGAAATAGAAGACCGAGAACTGACTCTGCTGAAGCTTCAGTTGTTCAGGATGCACAAGCATTAAGCTCTGAGCCTTGTTACCAAAAGGGAAGAGTGGGCGGGATTTCGTGGCGCGTTTCTCCAGTGCACGTGGCCATGAGCTACCGCCAGCCGGCTCTCTCGGGAGCCTGGGCCACGTCCCGTTCGTGTTCGCAGGCTGGCCGCTGCGGCAGCGGCAGGCTGGCCGCTGCCGCCCCGCTGGTCCGATGCCAGCGGCCGTCCGCGCACGCCGGCTGTTTTCTGGACCGAACAGGGTGTGGTGCTTTCCGTCGCCACGCGCGCCAGGGAGGAGACACGGCTAAAACTGGTCCCATGTCCTGCTGTCCGGCTCATGCAGTCAGATGGAATATGGGCTGGTTGCGTGGGGCTGCGTGAACCTGGCGTTCAGTTTTGCTCTGCAGCTCAGCTAAGGTGTTTCTTACGCGACATCGCACGCTTCATTGTTTGGTGTGTGTGAGAGGTTGGTTGCGATCATGCCGGTTGCTTCATCGTGAGTCTGTTCCACAATGGTTTCAGTAAAGTGATGACAGACCATATTTGGTTGTGCGGTATGCACGGCTTAGAAAAGCATCCGTAAACCAGCTGGTGATGTCCTGGTATAAGGTACTGCAAGCAATCCTGAAGTAAATGTTTTGCTTAGCTGACCAGTTCGTCGACTTTTTTATCTTGTGTGTTCATTGATGTTGTTATCCTATCGCGCGTATCTTCAAACAGGCGCAATGTTTTCCTGGCAAATAGACCTTGTTGAAACGTAATGTGTCGGTCAGATAGTGAACTTCTAGTGTCAACCAAGTGTCGGTGCAATGACTTTTATAGGGCTTCTTCGTCAGCCGCAGTTTTTTCTCTGCCAGCAAGTCGTTTGTTCTGGCGGGGACGGCTGAACGCGTCTGTTCCTTTGCGCCAGGCATCGTCGCATAATCTTCGTTCATAGGGTCTGCTTTCAAGGTGGCCAGTTGGCCATAGGATCGCCGTTGGGGCTTGGCATCCTCTAGACCTCAGTCTTGTTTCGTGTTACATATACCCGACATTGGACCGTCCACAGTTCCGTCGGTGGTACGCCTAGCCTGCGGCGGTGGTTGCTCCACTGCCTCGTTCGTGGCACGCATACCCGGCAGTGGGTCCCCCGCAGGCCGCCTCGGTGAAACGCATACCGGGCGGTGGGTCCCGTTCGTGGCGCGCATACGCGGCGATAGGTGCGCGGCGGCCTCCGGCGGTGGCGGTACGCGTCGGGCGTTCCGCGCGCGTCCCTGTCTATGTTTAGCGGCGACGGCCGGGCGGGCGGCGCCGCCAGCTCGGCCGCGGACAGTGGGCCCGCGCGCAGCCGGGGTCGGGTGTGCTCCGGTCCGGTGGCGGCGGAGGCGGAGGCGAGGCGGGACGATGGCTCAGCTGGGGGCCGGCCAGAGGAGCGGCGGCGCCGCCCTGCTGAACGGCCACGGCCTGGGCCACCTGGCGGCCGGCCGCGGGGCCTCGCTGCCGGCGCGGCCGCTGCTGCTGTCGCCGCGGCTCTCGTCGCCGAGCGGCGGCGGCCTGCTGGGCGGCGCGCCGGCCGCGCGGCCGGGCCCGGCGCCGGGCCGCGAGCGCTCGCCGCGGCGCGCCGGCTCGACGCTGCGCGAGCTCACGCCGCTCTCCGAGCCGCGCTCCGAGAGCGTGGTGCTGGCGCCGGCCGGCCGGCCGCGGCCTGGCGCCCTCTTCCGTGCCGTGCCCGCCGCCGACGTGCCCTACACCCAGTCGGCGTTCCTCTCGAAGAAGATCGACCAGTTTCTGCGCCGATCCGACCACAGCACCGACGCGTGGAAGGCGCTGACGCGGCGGCGGCCGCGCGCCGCCGCCGCCACCGATGCTCCGCCGCGGCTGGGGCGGGCGCGCAGCGCGGCTGCGCTCGTCACGCGCAGTCTGTACCGCCAGGTCAGCGACCAGGCCGACTGTCAGGTGCGCGCGCTCACGCGCGACCGCTCGGCCGGCACGGTCGCCGACGTCAGCGAACTGGAGATAGACGCCCAGGTAATCGGGTGGCGGGGAGATGCGGGGAAGGGGATGGGACGGCCTGTCGCCCCCCGGACGGACGGCCGAGGTCAGGTGGACGAAAACAAACGCCCAGGGCGGGTGGAACGGTAGATAAACCGTCCGCACCTGTTGCGCCCGTCAGCGGGTGGCAAACTTTCGCAGGCGGTGGAGCTGGGGGTGAATGGTCGATCCAAGCAGGTTCTGTGGTTTACCATTGCAATAGCTATCTCTGCGTTTCAAGAGACATAGTCCCAAGCGGGAGTGGAGCTCCCTGAATATCTCTCGTGGTAGTCCTTCAGTTCACATTTCTGCGGCTAAACAAAGGTGCCGGCTGGGTGATCTGTAAGTGGCGCTGACGCTTCCGTGGGTACACATGGCCCTCGATGTGTTTACCGGCGGCGCATCAACAGAGCGGGATGACGGCCAGGTGCGGCGCCGGCGGGGGAGGGGCAGCCATCACCTCCCCGCCCCGCCCCGCCCCGCCCCGTCTCGGCCCCGCCCCGCCCCGCCCCGCTCAGCCCCGTCTCGGCCCGCCCGGCGCGCGTCTCCAGCCCACCCGGCCGGCCGGCCGCGGCGGCTGGTGACTACACGCGAGGTGCTTCGGCCGGCGCGGAGTGGTCGTTTCGCGGGGTTACGAGGGCGGCCTGGGCGCGCCCCGGCTCCGGTGCGGCGCCGGCACCGCCCGCCGCCGCCCGGTATGCGGGTCTGGGGGCCCGCCCCGACCGCGGCGCCGCTGGACTGCCATCTGGCAGGTGCCGGAGACGGGTCTGTGTCACAGTCGGCGTCGACGGGCGCCCGGTCGGCCGGGCGCGGCTGGCGCTGGCAGCGGCGTCCGGACGACCGCGGCGGGGCGAGGATAGGCGGCGGCGCCGCCGGCGACGCCTCGCTCGCTCCGGATAACCGGAGGGGCCTGTCATCAGTGATCACCGCCGTCTGTCGGCGATCGCGGAGCAAACGAGAGCGAGCTGGCCGCCAGGCAACGCCATCTGCTGTCGACGACGCGACAAACCGTGGCCAGCGTTTTTGTGTTACATTTATTTGGCAACGAATATCTGTCTAATTTCGGTGCTCGTTATCGTGGAACTTGCATTCAGGAGAGTTTTTAACGGAATGTTGACTCCATCTGCCCACATGACCCACCTTTGTCGAGGCTGCCCGCCGGTATGGTAGGCAAGGCCATAAAGCTGCTCCGTTAGTATGATAGGTCGAGGTGGCTTGTTGCCGAACTGTACCATCTCGGCTGGGTATACCGTAAACCACCAGGTCAGCTATACGCTTGCGCAATGGAGTACAGGATGGCGCCCAGAGGACGAGACGGACGAGAAGTACGGTACGGTACGTGCGGTACGGTACGGTACGTGCGGCACACACCGCACAGCGTGTGGCCAGCGGGGCCGGCGGAGCAGCCTCAGCAGGGAGGGGGCCGACCGGAGGCGCCGCAGCCGGCGCTGGGCGAGACCCGGACCACGTCAGCAGTTGGTTCCACAGTCAGCGTCCGTCAATCGATCCCTATCAGTGGCCTGTCGCCTCCCGCGCCGTGTTGTTTACGGTTCCGGAAGAGCAGCACACGCCGTCGGGCGTCCGGCAGCGGACGGCGGCAGTGTCGGGCGTCCGGCCGGTCCGCGTGCCGTCTCGGGTCCCGGTCCGTCCCGGCCGTCGGGCGTCCGGCAGCGGACGGCGGCAGTGTCGGGCGTCCGGCCGGTCCGCGTGCCGTCTCAGGTCCCGGTCCGTCCCGGCCGTCGGGCGTCCGGCAGCGGACGGCGGCAGTGTCGGGCGTCCGGCCGGTCCGCGTGCCGTCTCGGGTCCCGGTCCGTCCCGGCCGGCGCGCGGACGGCTGCCGGCCGGTGGCGCTGTGCCAGTCACGGCCGGGGCGAGCCTCCTGTTCCCGGCGAGGCTTTCGTGCTGTTGGTGGACGACGGTTTCGGCACGAGCGTTGTCGTGAACGGATGGACTGTGTGTAGTGTCGCCGTCGCTGTCAGGTTTGTGAGAAATTATTATTCCGGGGTTGGGGTCCTGCGGTCTGGGCGGCCGCACAATTGTGCCGTCGTAGATCATGTCGCTGTTGTTCTTTCCGTCAGCGTGCCAGTGGTGGAACCAGCAAGTCTGCCCCTAATGGGACCAGCTGTCGCTGTGGTCAAAAATAGCGTGGCGATATGAAAACAGGCATTCTCGCTTGTGAACGCGTGTTTAATCACCGCCTGTACACGCGTGCACGATCGTCACCTGGCGACGGCCGAGTGGGTGTCAGTGTCGCCGGTCCTGCTCCGCTCTCGCGCGTCTGCCGCGCCGGGCCGGGCCGGCCTCGGAGCGGGCTGACTGGTGGCGCGGTGCCAGCCGCCCGCCGGAAGCCTTCTCCGCTGCCGCCGAACTATGTCGAAGCGGCGTCGGCCGATAACGCCCCGCCCTGCGCTGACCGTCGTCGTGAACGCCGTGTTGTCCGCTCAGGACCGTCCGTGCGAGGAGCGCTGTGTTTTGTTAGCAGCTCGGTGACAGGCCCCGCGCTGTCTGGCTCACTCGGTGGTCCCGTTCAGAATGTCATTGGTTTAGCAGAGTTGTGGTGTAGTGTTCGGCATTGTAGCGGGCAATTAGCGCTGCACAGACACTTGAAGCTCACTACCTGTCGTGCCCCCAGTCCGTTCCTCCGCGAATGGAGACGGGATGGGGGAAGTCGGGCGACATGTTTGCTTACAGTGCAGGCACGACGCGATTACCGCTTCAGAAGCTGCAGGCTTTGTGGTTGCTCTGTTTATTTTCCGAGCGCGCCGTTACCGTTACTGACATCACGGCTTCCGCGAGCCCCCGCCAGTTCTGGCCACGTCCGGTCACGCCGCAGGCCCCAGAGACTGGGCCACGGGGTGTGCGGGGCGGCCGGGGACCGAGCGCAGTCTGCCTGCGTCATGCGCTGGCCGCGGGTGAGAGCCGCGCCTCCCCCGAATGCACCGGGTGCAGACCGCCGTACCAGCGACGGTTGCTCTGGCTCCCGCCCGGCCGCTCGCGCCGGTGGTGCCCTCGCCTGTCCCGCTGCTGGGGACGTGCCGGCGTGAGCGCGCTGCCCGCCGCCGTCGCCGCGTCGCCTGACGTCCGGCGTCTGTTGGTGTTGCAGCTGGGCGAGCTCACGGCGGACCTGGCCGAGGAGCACCACACCTCGACGCTGGCCACCGAACGGCTGGAGGCCGAGCAGGCCGAGCGCATGCGGCTCGAGGGAGACGTCCAGGGACTGCAGGTGAGGCTCGGTGGTGGCGTCCAGGGGTGGAGCCCGGGGAGGGGGGCGTCCAGGGACTGCAGGTGAGGCTCGGTGGGGGCATCCAGGGATGGAGCCCGGGGAGGGAGACGTCCAGGGACTGCAGGTGAGGCTCGGTGGTGACATCCAGGGATGGAGCCCGGGGAGGGAGACGTCCAGGGACTGCAGGTTAGGCTCGGTGGGGACGTCCAGGGGTGGAGCCCGGGAGGGAGACGTCCAGGGACTGCAGGTGAGGCTCGGTGGGGGCATCCAGGGGTGGAGCCCGGGGAGGGGGGCGTCCAGGGACTGCAGGTGAGGCTCGGTGGGGGCATCCAGGGATGGAGCCCGGGGAGGGAGATGCCCAGGGACTGCAGGTGAGGCTCGGTGGGGGCATCCAGGGATGGAGCCCGGGGAGGGAGACGTCCAGGGACTGCAGGTGAGGCTCGGTGGGGACGTCCAGGGGTGGAGCCCGGGAGGGAGACGTCCAGGGACTGCAGGTGAGGCTCGGTGGGGGCATCCAGGGGTGGAGCCCGGGGAGGGAGACGTCCAGGGACTGCAGGTGAGGCTCGGTGGGGGCATCCAGGGGTGGAGCCCGGGGAGGGAGACGTCCAGGGACTGCAGGTGAGGCTCGGCGGGGACATCCAGGGGTGGAGCCCGGGGAGGGAGACGTCCAGGCGCTCCAGGTGAGGGTCGGTAGTGACGTCCAGGACTGGAGCCCGCGATTTATCGACGAGGAAGTACTGTCGCTGGTCAAGTGCAAGCCGCGGGTGGAGTTCCGCCGTCTAACTGCGCAACAACATTTGCTCCGTCGTCACAAAGTGTGTGGTTGTTCTCCTTTGGGTGATATGATTTGTTGGAACCCAAACGCGGCATGCATTAGTCCTCCGGAGAGGTGGTACGGTTGCGTTACCGCACTGCCACACACTCTGCTCTTGCTGCCATTTATGGACGGCGCCCCGGCCCGGCGCATCGGCAGCGGGCGCCGCGCCCCCGAACCCCTCCCGCTGTCGGCGGCCGCTGACCGCGCCGCCGCCGCCGGCAGACCGAGTACAAGAAGATGTGCACGTTGAACGAGCGGCTGGAGACGGAGCTGCTGTACACTCGCGCCTCGGCCGAGCTGAGCGCCGGGTCCGAGGAGGAGGAAGAGGCCGGCAGCGTCACCATGTACAAGCGCAAGTACGAGTATACGGCCCGCGAGCTCGCCTACACCCGCAAGCGGCTCGAGCAGCAGCACGAGGACGACGTCGAGCAGATGATGGTGCTCAAGAAGCAGCTGGATAAGAAGGTCGGTGGTGGTCGCTGTGTGTTGTGCTGGCGCTTAGTATGGGCTGAGGTTATATCATGGCTGCTGGTTGCTGGCCCCATCCTGGCCGAGCAAGATGGAGGCCTGTTGGGGCCACCCCTGCCAGGCGGCTGTTCCGGGGCTATAAAAAACATGAACTCATCGCTGTTGTCACGGACCTGAGAGTGTTTTCATCATGCATGCTTTGTGTAAAGCATATGAGCCCAGCTTGACGCCAGGCACATGGTGGTCTATGACATTTTTTAGGACCTTGTAGGTGGTTTTGGTGTCGTATTCTTGTTTTATGTTTGAAATTTAGCAAGAGATGGGAACGCTGAGTTGCCCCGTCCCCCGGATCCTCCCCCGCCCCCTCTGTATTGCAGTGGAGCTCATGATAGGACATTTGGAGACCGGTCTGCATTCTGTCACCGCTATCTCTATGATATTCAACACGTTCCCCATGGACCACACCGATCGGAGTACGTCCGTATATATGCAACACCAATCCGGCGGCATGAGGCAGGCTAGATCCAGCAACATCCGGTTACGTTGGTCTCTTGGCAGCCAAGCGCAGCCCCCGACTGGCCTCCTCGTTCATGTTAACGTGTGGTTTGCGTTGAATGCGCTCACTGCCGCTGCAGTGACGGCCAGGTGTTTGGGGAGGGAGCTGGCCCGTCTGTGAGCATCCGAGCATCTGTGTGGGCCGGGCGGAACAGGTGGCGCGCCTCCGCCGCCGACGTTCGCTCGTGTCTGTGGCGCGCACCAGTCCGCTGCAGGCGGCGGCGAGACGCCCGCTCCCTGCTCGGTACGGACGCCCGGTCCCCTCCCCGTCCGTCGCCGCGCCGTCCCGAACACGCGAGACGCGGCGTTCCGCCAGGCGGCGCCGCCGTCGCCGTCCGAGAGCTCTGGTGTTCCTTCGCCTGCGGTGTGTGCGCCCAGGCCATGGCGGCGGGGACGGGATCGTGGACGACTCTTCGTGTTGGTCCGAAGGCTCCGGTCTCGTCCTGAGCACACAGCGAGGTCAGTAGCGGTTAGCTCACCCCGTGAACCACCGCCGCCGCAGGTGGAGGCGGCGTACGAGGAGGTGGACGAGCAGCGCCAGATCGTGACGCAGCAGAAGCGCAAGGTGACGCGGCTGACGGGCGAGCTGAACGACCTGCGCATCCACCTGGAGGAGCAGAGCAGCCGCAACGCCGTGCTGGAGAAGAAGCAGCGCAAGTTCGACATCGACATGCAGGCGCTGCAGGTGAGCACGCCGGACCTGTGGGCTGGCGGCGGGCAGTCCGCGTCGGCAGCAGCCTCGGGGTGTAGCAGCGTGAGCTAGGTGATCAGAGATCAGCTGGGCACTCTGGATCGAGTGGCGACCGGTGCCTGCGATCTTGTGGTGTGAGCTAGTGAGAATAGCATTTTGTTCAGTGATGCACTGGCTGATGTTGATGATGGCGACTGATGCGTGCGGTGGGAAAGGGCTGCATTCAGCCCTGCGCGCTGAGATCATTTCGCTGTCTCCGTTTGGAAATCGTGCCGCGCTCCGCACGCCGGAGCGTCGCCTCCTCGCCTGCAGTCAGTGCCAGGCGGTGTGTTGCCGCGGCCCGTGACGTGGCTCGTGGCCCGGCCGCGCTCCGTCCCCCTGTGTGTGTGTGTGTGACGCCGCCGCGCGCGCCGCCAGGACGTGGCCCGGCCGCGCTCCGTCCCCCTGTGTGTGCGTGTGTGTAATGTCGCCCGCGCGCGCCACCAGGACGAGCTGCGCCGGGAGCGGCAGCAGCGGGAGAAGGCCGTGCGCGAGCTGGACCAGCTGCAGCGCGAACGCTGCTCGCTCGACAACGACGTGGCGGTGAGTACACACCGCTGGCCGCACGACGCGGCGCAGGGACAGCGCCGCCGACGTCCGCCGTGGGCTGCCGTGCGCCTGGGTGGTGGCCTGCCCGCCGGCGGGGCTTTAACTGTCTGGCGGCAGCGGCTGCGCCAGACGTGCGCATGGCGTTTGTCGCCAGTCTTGAGGTGCCAATGTGGTGACCACACGTTGGGGAGGGGGGGGGGGGGTCGCAGCCTATCCCGTTTGAAGACGCACGCGATCGTAAAAGGGAAAGGGTGTTAAAAGTAATCCTGACTAAAGCCGCTCAAGCGGCAGCTGTTGGCCGACCGCAGGTGAGCGTTTACGGGATATTGACGTTTGCGCAACTACACAGAGGTTATATTTCGGGCGCTAGATGGCAGTGCTCCGGCGCCGTGCCGCATGCGGTGGCGCCCACCTGTGCCTTCGAACGTGAAATATGAAGCGCTATGCTGATGCGATGCAAATGCGTCTAATTTTGGGAGTTCCCCGCCGCGTGGTGGGCTGGGCGGCGGGTCGGTTCAGGCTCCGCTGCCGTCTTGAAAATGCTGCCGAGAAAGTGTGTTCCGTTAGTGGTGGATCACGGCCACTGAACGCCTGAATTGGCGTTGGAAAGGTGGCTCCTGCTCCGTTGGCAACGCCCAGGCGTTTGGCGTTTGGTCGCAGAGAACGGTCCGAAAAATTACCGTCGCGCTTAACAAGCGCAAGGAAAGCAAACCGCTCTGCCCAGCGTGGCTGTGCGGCGGCGTTTTACAACCGTGCCCGGTCGGCTGGCGCTTGTTTACCCTCTGGCGTTACCGGATCGGTGCGTGTCGACTCATGCGAAGCGTGCTGCAGCCCTTGCACGCTTGGGCAACACGACAGCCTGTGGGATTGTGCGATGGAGCCGACAGCCAGCGCTAATAGAGGCCCGCTGTTTGCGGAAGCTTCGCGCAGTTGTTATCCGCTGTCGGCTGCGCCGCCCCCGTGTGGTGCGCAGATGCGCCGCGCTGGCAGAGAGCACTGGAGGGGGTTTGCAGGGCGGGCGGCGTTAGCGCGCGGATCTGTGACGGCTGTAGCGATGGAGGCCACGGAGGAGAGGATATGTGTGCCGTGCATGCAGCTCCCAGTGTCTGAACGACGCCGTGTGTTGGGCGTGGCCGGGTGACATCGACGCGGGCGTGGCCGGCGGTTTCGCCGAGGTCACGAATCACCTGTGGTGGGCGGCCGCGGGTCCAGGTCCGGACCGGGCCGGACCTGGCTGTGGGCTACCGTCGGCGGCGCTCGGGTGGGCTCGGTGGCCTCCCGCGCCGCGTCGCATCCGCGTGTGTGTTGCGGCGTTGTCTGCAGCTCCGATACGGAGTCGATAGGCGTGGTGTTGACCTGTGGATAAGGGAAGCGGAAGAGCTGCTGCGTGCGGCCCCCAGCTCGCCTCCCTCGGCGGGCGTGGGGCTTCGCGCGGCTCGGGGCTTCCGGCGACCGCAGACGGAGCGGCGGCGGCGAGCGCGCGCGTCGCGGGTGGATCCGACGGCCACGGCCGCGCTCGCCGCCGCGGCGCTGCCACTTTCACCGGCTGTGTCCGTCATTTGCTCGGCGGGCCCGATGGCGGCGCATGGTCCGCCGTCACGACAAGCCCGGGTCCCACGCGCTGGGAGTGACGGCCGGCCAGGCGAGATGAAACACGCACCTCGGCTGAGGGCGCAGGGCCGGCGGGCGACGCGCACAGCCCAGCAGCGGCCGGGGTCAGTCGATGCCGAGTCGTTCTGGGCCCGTGATTGGACGGAGCGCTGAAGCCTGGCGGTCTCGGCGAAGTAACGGTCGACGCCGCGCGCCGTTGTGTACGTTCTGCGCGGTCGGTCGCGTCGAGACGCCTCACGGACAGCGGCCGGGGCGGCGCGTCCGACGCTTCTCCTCGGCTCTCCACGACCTCGTGTTGTTTCGCGCCCCGTCTGACCTTTCTATCCCACCTCCCTCTCTCTTGCCGTCTTTCTCTTTGTCTCCTTCCCACTCTTTCTCCTCATCTTTCCTGTTCGAACGTCTCAGGCGTATGGTTTTCTCCCTCGATCTGGCTTCTTTTTCGTCGCCATCTTGGTCGCGCTCCGGAGCTCAATCCGGTCTCCTAATTGCGTTCCACGCTTGCCGCCCCATTGTCCGACCGTGCCACTTCGAGCCGTCGACTCGAAAAACCGTCTCTCTTATCGGCGATCTGTATCGCGAGCGGTTCTCCTTTGACGCCGTGGGCCGGCAGCTGATGAAATTCAATTATCTCCCGACACACACGCTACCGTTACTGATGGCGAGCGTCGCCGGTCGCCGGCGCGGCTGGTCCCGTCGCTCGCGCCGGTCAGCAGTGACGCCGTCGGACGCCGGTCGGCGGGGCCGCCGCGAGTCGGCCGGTCGTTGCCCGGCGCCCGTGGGTTGTCGGGCGGTCCACCCGTCTCCGGCGTGGCGCGGAGAAGCGGCCGCGGCGAGGCGGTAACGGCGTGGTTCGGGCCGGGTTTGACGGCTCTGGTTCCGTTGCCGCTGCCGGTCGCGTTGTCCATGGTTTGTGGCGCGAGGCGTGGCTGCAGTTGTGTGCTCGCTGTTGGCTGTAGGTATTCTCTGCAGACGGTCGCAGCGGCTGCGGTGACTCATGCGGCGTTCACGTTGTGTGGCGAGTGGGCCGCGACCGCGTCTCCCCGGGCCGGGCCGGGCCGGCTGCCGCTCCCCGCCTGCCGCTGCGACCGTGGCGTGTCGGCCGGCCGTGCCGTGTCAGACTGGGTCAGACGGCGGCGGGCGGCGTCACGGTCGGGCGGGCGGGCAGCCGCGGCAGCGCCGCCGGTCACGACTGGACCGTCACGGCCGGCGCCGCCGCCGCCAGCTGCGCAGGGCGGCGAGTGTGCCACCGCCGCCGCCGCCACCGGTGTCTCGAGTGGCCACCGGTCCGCGCGCAGCACAGAAAGCCTCAGTCGGTCGTGGCCCGGCCTCGCTTTGTCGGACGACACGTTCGCAGCCTTAACCGGTCAGAACCTCCCGAGCAGGTAACGAAGGCTGCGGACCGTTGGTCCCGCGCTTCCATTCATCTTCCATTTGCTGTCTGCGCCTGGTTTTGTCGGTCGGGTGGGGAAGCACTGACTGGGGTCCGCAGTGCGGCGCCGAACACCGGGCCCTGCCCGGCCACCGGCGCCGGCCGGCCCGCCGCAGAATCTCCGCGTGACGCGCCGGCGTCACGGTCACGGCCGCCAGTCACGGCGCCGCCGCTGCGTGCCGCACCCCCGGGGCGTGGCGCCGCGCGCCCCCCGGGGCGCTCGGCGCGCCGCCACTGTCGTGGAGTCACGCGCCGCGCCGGCGGCCGCCGCTGCGCGTGCTCGGCGCCGGCCGCCGCGTCCGCGGCGGCTGCCGACGCGGTGCTGCCGCGCCTTATCAGTGCAGGCCATCGAGATGATCGGGCGACTGCTCTGGCGATCCCATACAGAGGCGAGGGGGCTTTCGGCCGCGAAGAATGGCCGGTTTTCCAGTATGTAAATGGGGCCATGCGGTGTACTCTTGATAAGAATATCAATGACCGGGGGCGAGTTTTTGCGGCTCTGTTCTGACCTCGGCCTCGGCAGGGAGCGCGGTAGGTTTGTCGCACCGGTCCCGGCAGCGGCCGCCGCCGCCGCCGCCGACCTGAATGGAAACCTGCGGACGGATACGCGGCCGCCGTCTCCGTCGGCCGCGCTGAGTCGGCCGCGCGGCGGGGCCGGGATGCGTTGCCGCGGCGCGACGCGGCCACTGCGCTGTCGCAACCGGCGCTCGGTAATTAGCGGCGCCACCGGCGCTGGCCCGACCCGACCCCGGGCGGCGGCGGCGGCGGCGGCGCTGCTGCTAATGGCGCGCCTGACACGGCCCCCGTGCGCCGACCCCCGACCCCGGCCTCGCGACGGGCCCGCCGCGGCCGTCAGGGCGGGCGCGCCGGCGTGGCCAAGGGCGCCGATGGGACGCGCGCGGCCGCCGGGCCGCCAAGGTAACGGCGTTAGAGCGCGCCCCGCTGTGGGGGATCTCGGCTGCCGCGCGGCCCTGGAAGCCGCCCCGGATCTGGCTACTTCTGGATCGGGATCTAGCCGCTTTGCGCCGTCGTGTTGGTGGTGTGCTCTTCTGTCACGAAGGAGTCCTCCTTGGCCAGTTCTTTTTGCCGTGCAGGCCGAAAAACTAAAAACGGCTTGCAGTTCTCAGCAAGGCTGAGTGCCTTTACTTTGTGGTTTTTCCTCATGACGATAAGTAAATCGACCGTTTGCGGCGGGGTTTATTCGACCAACTTGTGCAGGAACATGACCTGATATAGTGACGTACAGTAGGTATGCATGAATGTACATTGCACGTTCGTTTTGAATGGCTGTTTTTGTGAAAAGTAGGCTTCCCTACAATGGCTCATCAAACTTTTTTACACCAACATTGTGTACTTATCCGTGACCATCAGCCCTTCCTGCACTTGTGTGATCTCAAAATTCTGCACGTTTTTGTAACGAGTTGTCTGTGTTAGCTCTTCGCTTGAAGATCATTAGCTGGCTTTGTGTCAGAGGACCTGGTATTTCTACGGTTTCTCTCGGTCCTCCCTGTCTGGATTGACCAGCTTTTACGATTGTTCTTCGATCGCCCCAGTTTTTGTGCCATTTGCGACGCACTGATTGGCTAGATCGAATGGCCGTCTGTGCACAGCCGTAGGGCTGGTGAAAGACCGTTATATACCATATATACATATGTCAATCGTGCGCGGTGCGAACAGACCAAGCAGTTCCCGCACTGTAATGGAGTTACGGACGCCGACAGGCCGACTGCTGCCTTGTAAATGACATGTTGCCATGATACGCTGCCTTGCAAATCATGGAAGAGAATCGCCGAATCATGGCGCTACGTCGCAAAGCGTTGCCCCGCGTGGAACTCCCTGAAATGGCTAACCGGCTGGAGTAATGACCACGTCAGTCTGGAGTGTCTCGTGGCGGGCCGTGCTGACCGGCGCGGGGGCGGGTGGTGTTTGTGCCCAGCCCGGCGTCGAGCTCCCG